ACAATATACCATGCATGAATGATTCATAAATATACTATCACATCATCAAAGAGGGGTTCACCCAACAGCTTAGATGTTCTCCCTAACCTGCGGGGAAGAACAGGTTTTCACCCCCTTATGAAAGGTCAGCAGGGTCAGGGCCATCTGAATCGTAGGGGATAGGAAGTTCCATACAGCAGGTGTTATGACAGAGAAGGCATGCTTCCTGGGTCCCATCAGATGATATTGTTTGATAGAAGGGATCCAGAGTATGCCCATCCTATCATATCTCATGGGACAGGCAAAAATAATCAGAGATTGACAGTCCTGCAAATAACTGGCTCTGTGTCATGAAAAGCTTTATAGGTGATAACCTATCATCTTGAATTCCATTTGGAAGCCCACTGGCAGCCAGTGTAGCTTACGAAGTAGAGGTATTATTACATGGATATACAGAGACACCTTTGTAACTACCCACACTGCTGCAATCTGCAGCTTCGGAATGGTTTTGAAGGGGTAGCCCCATGTGCATTGCAATAATCCAGATGGAAAGTGAACAAAGCAGGAGTGACATGGATCAGAAACACAGGTGGTCAAACTAAGGATCCCAAGTATTCTGTCCATTTCCTTGGGACCAGCAGGCTCAACCTCGTCCCATGCTCCAGTCAATTTCACCAGACATGCACAGTTGGAGTCCAGGTAAGAGTGGATCTGAGCAACTTTATCTGTCAGATGCCTTGAATATTCTTCACAAGGACCCTGAAGTCTGCTTCTGGACTTCCAGGGGAGGCATAGCAAACTGAAAACATCTCTGCGAAAGCAGAGCCAACGACTGTGGCAAAGACTGAAGAACCAGTGAGTAGACTGGTTCTTCAGACACTCTCCAGATAAGGACAGGATGGGAGATCACCCACATGTGCTCCAGACGGCTGCTCTTTATGAAGAGACTACAGATTGCTGTCTTCCGTGGGTTTGGGTGCCAGGAGACGAAGGGATTAGCCATCTTTCCTGCAACCACAGCAGAGCCTTTTAAAAGACATTAAGTTTGCAAGCCTCACTTTCCAATCACTTTCAGAAATTGCCTATTAACCATCTTAAAGTTATTAGAGACTCTTGGAATGACACATTTGAAAAGTTACCAGGTGAGTTTAGCTTCAACTTAAAGAAAAATTAATTACAAGCTTAAGTACTTAAATAATTTGAAATAAACAGCAAAAAGCTAAATAAGATTTTGATCTAGGAAAGTTACAAATGGATTAAGGATCCAGCTAAATTTGGAATATTGACTTTTACCATAAGATTTTAGAGTTAACTATAAAGAATAAATAGCTTTTCATGGGAATCAGAATTATTTTGGCTACCTTGGCTCATAACAAAGATAAGTGACTTTATGATTTTAGAAACTGGACATCAGAGGGGACTACAGATTCTAAGTAGAAGAAAAAAAATACAAGCCTGCTTTTGTTGTCGGTTAGTACTTGGACGTACAAAATGATACAGTATCATAACATTGGAAATATTAAAGGAGATCTTTGATAAACAGAGCCAGAGATTAGTAGCTACAATATCAACAGTGTCAGTAATGATGTCTGATTCTGGATAGATTATGTCCAAAAGATGTTAATGAGGTAATGACAGATTTGGACCAATTTAGTCTAACAAGACAGAGGAAATACTGAAAGTGGAACTGCAAATGACAGGCCAAGAGAATAGTTTGGAAAAGGACACTTTATTGGATATACAAAAGAAACTGGCTAACGTTTTAAAAATTAAAGGGGAAATACAAATGACAAACCAAGAGAATGACCTGGAAAATGTTTTCTTATTGGTTCTAGAAATGAGGCTTGTTAAACCATTAAAGAAGTCTGTGTGATGGGATAAAGAAGAATTGAAGAGAAATCAAGTTCTATGACAATATTTGAATGAACTAAAGATTAAGAGTGTTAGAAGTAAAAGGAAGAAGTATAAACTTGGTTTATTTGATCAAGGTTAAAATAAGACTCAGCTCCAGATCATGTCACCACTGCCTGAGACAAAAATCAGATCAAATGTGTGACCTTCACTGTGCATTGGGCCCTCAATGATTTGAGTCAGGTTCACAGTTGCCATAGTGATCATGCAGACCTGATCCCTTCAGACTCCATACAGAGAGAAGGCAGGTTGAAATCTCTCAGTACCATAAATCTAAGTAACTCCCTCACCAACCCAGCCATAGAGTTGAGCAGCTCCATCAGGGAAGATGCTAAGCAGCAAAAATAGTATAGCAGTAGCAGTGGCAGCAGCGGCAGCCCTACCTGATCTCTAGAACCCAATTTCACAGACAGGGTTTCATATCTGTTTATCTGCAGAGCAGCACCCCTGAAAGCCACAAGAGGCAGGATGACAATAGACACACCCCTGCCTCTACCCTGGGATTGTGGCTGATCCCACACACAAAAATCAGGTGAGCATATTTCTGACAGGGGCATTCCCTGCCCCCCTTCCCGTACCCATCCATGTCTTGGTAATGCATTCAAGGCCCTCTCATCCAAGATTAAGTCACTGATGAGGGAGGCCTTATTACCGGCTGACCTGGGATGTGGTAGCAGCAGCTGGAAGCTGCAGTCATATACAACAGGGCACGGGAAGGAGCCCAGGGGCTGGAATGTAGTATCAGCCTAAGCCATTGAAAAGAAGCTGAAAATCTTTCTGCCCAGCCATCCTGGAGGCCCTCAATGTTGTTCCCTACAGCAGCTGCTGGAGCCTCCCTCCATGTCTGCCAGTGGGGCAAACAGCATCCAGAGATTCTCTGAACCCACTCCAGTGTCTACACAGCTCCTGCAACATGCTTTAACAACAAACTATTGTCACTATTCCATCCTGGCACCATTGTGAAAAAGAAAGGTTTTTTTGAGCAGGTCAGATCATTGTTATACTATTTCTCCAGAGAGCAAAAGAAACCTGAACAAGAACTTGCCCCTTGGCAAGGACAGCCAAGCTGTTAATACAGGTCACATTTAACACAACGTGCATTCACTAACTTGCCTGCTCTGTAGTTTGTTTGTTTTTAAATGGGCATTACAGTGTCATTACTCCCTTTGAAAAGCTATTTGTGATCCAGGTCAAAAAGATGGCATCACGCATATTCCCACAGATCGTTTCAGATCAGGGTCAGCTTTGTTCTGCAGGCTGTAGAGGTTGCTAACGGGAGCCAAAGTCTACCTTGGCTGCAAATCAAAATTATGTTGAATATTGAGGCATTAATGTTTATATAGCTGGGACTACAAATATTGATGATGCTATTTGCAGAGTCAAAAATGTTGGTGCCAAGAAGAGGTGCACCACAATTCCTCAAGGGAAAGGACGAAGCAACAAATTCCAGTCACAGAAAAACATCCTGAACCTGAGTGTAACTTCTGAGCGGAAATGCCAACGGAGAATCCTGATTGCAAAGCTCATTTTCTTTCTCCTATCCGGCTGCTGGCTAGGGACCAATACACTTGAAAGGTGTTTCCTCTAAAGATGCCATCCTAAGGGCCCTATTGTCCCCCACTTTCTAGCCTTCTGCCCCCCCATGAATTAAAATACAACTCCCATAGCTCCCCAAATGGGAACTGTAGTCCCAATATATTACAGGGAGAGGTGTTCTGTTTGGCCTGGCTCTCTCTGCAGGGAAGCAGGATAAAATAATCAGACCGCGAAATAGCAAAACACTTGTTGCCAACTCTTGTCTCTTTCAATGCCTGCCAACTGTCTTTTCCGAAGGAAGGGAACCTGCAAACTGAAATCCTTTGACTGAAAACTCTGATTTATTAGAGTTACTGGGGTGGGGGGGTGGGGGTAGGGAGTGGGAGTCCTGGTGCAAAACTATGCACCAACTGAATATTAATTATCTTTCAGAGTCCCATTTCCAATATTA